GAATTTCCTTCACTGGAACCAGGGGGCCAAGCCCAATCCCTGAAAAAACTACTCCACACCAAAATCCCCCCTCCACCAAACTTTACACTTGGCACAATGCAGTCAGGCAAGTACCATTCTACTGGCAACCGCCAAACCCTGACACGTCCATTCTATTGCCAGACAAAGAAGCATGATTCATCAGTCCAGAAAACACGTGTCCACTGCTCTAGAGTCCAGTGGCGGCATGCTTTACACCACTGCATCTAACGCTTTGCAGATGCTCGGCCATGGAAACCCATTCCATGAAGCTCTCTATGCACTGTTATGCTAATCTGAAGGCTACATGAAGTTTGGAGGTCTATAGCTATTGACTCTGCAGACTGTTGGCGACTTCAGCACACTGTGCGCTTCAGCATGCGCTGACCCCGCTCTGTCATTTTACATGGCCTACCACTTCATGGCTGAGTTGCTGTTGTTCCCAGTTGCTTCCACTTTGTTATAATACCACTAACAGTTGACAGTGTAATATTTAGTAGCGAGGAAATTTCATGGATGCACAGTAGCAACCTATCACGGTACCATGTTTGAATTCGCTGAGCTCCTGAGAGCATCCCATTCTTTCACAATTGTTTGTAGAAGCAGTCTGCATGCCTAGATGCTTGATTTTATACACCTGTGAGGAGGTGATTGAAGGTGATTGGAACACCTGAATCCAGCAATTTGGAGGGGTGTTCCAATACTTTAGGCAATATAATGTATATACACATATTTTTATATAGTGTAAGGTGAACAGGCAGAACTGGGATTGACAGCAGTAAACCATGCATGAGAAAAGTATATCCAGGAAGAGTCCAAGGTTCAAGTTATTTACCAAGATAATAAACATACACTGGAGGGCTTTGTACAGCAAGCTCATTAGAGAAAAAACAAACAAAACATTTGCTTATCTGGGCCACTAACTATGTCCTGACTAACAGGTTGCCCCCTAATAGGTTCCCCAAAGCAAACAAACAGCTCTTGTACCTTTTTAGTGTTCTGTGAGCAGTCAGCCTTTTCACCCAGCAGCAGGTCCCCACAATAGACAGAGTTAGAGAGAGCCCTGATCATCAGTCAGCTCACATATATAAAGGCTTGTGGACAGCTGAGACTAATGAGGCTTGGCTACCAGGTAAGATTTGAACCTAGTAGTGAAGGCTTTATCCCACCAAAAGCTTAACAAAGCCTTCAGGTTCCAGTACCAGGACAGGATTTATTAGGATCTTGAGAAAATAAAAGCTCTATTTCTCCAATCTAGACACAAACTCTTGAGCCCCCTACCATGTGAGGCTTTACAAAGCTTCCAGGCTCCATGACCAGGACAGCACCTATTAGGATTTTGAGAAAACAAAAGTTTGATTTCTTCATATCAGACACAAGCCCTGAAGTCCCCCCCATGTGTAGGTGGCAATTTACACTGTCCAAAATTCTACCAGTGGCTCACAATTAAAAAATAAAAAAAATGATTGTCGAACTGCTGATGTGTTTGCCTTCTGTTAGTAAAGTAAAGCCATTCAGATATGTATTAGCAATAAACCCTTTATGATGAATTCCTGTTTCTAATACACAGGGCTCCATTTCCGCTTCTCTGCAAGGAATACATTTATAGAATGAAATAAACCATTATAATCAGTTCCTCCATGTCATTTGTGGGATTCCATAAATGAAAATTCATCTTAAGTGTGGCCAAATATGATTTGTGGTCTCTTTCAAGTCTGTTTATAATTGCAGTGGAGTATGTGGAATAAATGTGCAATAAATCTAACCGCTGAGCAGTGTTTTTACTATTGCACATTTTGGACTTGAAGTTCTATAGGCTGCTGATGATTGTCCTGACATTGCATTGTTTTGCATTGAGATATCAAAAACTCGCTCATTCACATTCTTATTTTACAAAAGAAGGCGATTGTTTGATACATGTTATCCACATTATTACATGTACTTTAAACAAGATATCTTCCTACCACAACTTCTAGGTAAATTAGTAGGGTGGACCCTTTTCTGGTGTGCAGCGTACAGAATAAATTTCCTTGTGAGTGATGTCAAAATGAGAGCTCTTACACCCAAGTACAGTATATTGGTAGCATCAGGCAAGAAATAATCATGTAGATTTCCCATTTAGTTTTAATGATTTCCTGTTTGATGCAACCACTGTACCAGAGTGAAGTTAAGCTATGACAAAAGCCTCTGTTTATGTATCTTCTTTGTAAAACACACAGTAAGGTCTATTTATCAGTTTTTTTCACCCGACATTTACATAATTGTCACTCAGGATTCTCCCCATTTTTCTTATGGAATCTTATGTTCAAAATGTGTGAATTTTGGATGCAAGTTAAATGCATCCTACGTGAAAACATTGATAAATAGACTCCCTATGACAGGGGTGCTCAACCTGTACCCCATGGGCCACATGTGGCCCTCAGAGACCTTTGATGTGGCCCTAAACCTCAAACCAGGGAAGCGCACTTCTATTATATGCTGCGGGTTTGGTGCTCTTTCTGAAAGTGTACCAAAACTTCTGAATGCAGGAGTTTTGGTGTGCTTTCAGAAAGTGCACCAAACCTGAAAGATATAATAGAAGTCTAAGGCAAAGCGCAACTAACTCGTAGGATGGCCGGTGGTGCACTGCACTGAACCTGTGGTATGGGTAAACCACAGCACATCAGTGTGAAAGCAGCCTTGTAGGGGACTCAGGACAGTTTGCTTGTTTACATTTGCACTTTTGGGGGGTGGGTGTTTTTACAACTCCCTCCCAACCACTGATGTAGCATCAGGGTTCGCAACAGTGACCACACTCCATGCTCCAGGGGGCCCCTGCGGCCTCCCTGTCACATTCTGTTTTACAGTTAGACAGGAGGGGTGGCATATATGGGAACCAATTATCTCCTTTTTCCTCCTGCAACCGCTGAGAACCAGCTTCTCCTCTCCTTCTGGCCGGCATTCAGTGGCTGCAGGAGGAAAATGTTCATTATACTATTAAAAAATTTGAAATTTGGAACCATTGCATTTCTTGTGACCCATGAACGGTTACCAAATAACTTAAGTGGCCTTCGCTCTTCAAAAGGTTGAGTACCCCTGCCCTATGATGTAAAACTATGGCAAAAGATTTTTTTTATTTCTAGGAAATAACAAATTGTGTATTTCAAAGGCATTTTTATAACTGATTTCTTTGCTCTTAGGTGAACAAAATGGGGTAAAGTGTGGACGGACATGTACGGTGGACCAGGATAATCAATGGATGGGTGTCAGCTTGTCTAGACAACAAACAAAAGATGGACAACTACTGGTTAGTGTCGCTATGCAACATAATACTAGGATATGTATTAGATGTATTAAAGTGGAAAGAAAGGCTAAACCCTATTTCTAATTCTTCTGAGTGGCAATGTGACTGCAAAGCTTTGGTTCTTCTGTGTTATGTGCGAGCTGACAACGGGGGTGCATTACAGCAAGCCCTGACGTCACCCAATGTCACTAGATGGAGCTGAGGGTCATAGGAAAAAAATGCTTTAAATAATTATCCTGGGCCTTGATATATTGTGCTAACATATTGGTTAATATATAGTCTGTGAGAAATACATTGAAGATGTGGTGCACGTCTGCTGCCTAGCAGCTGCCCAAGCTCTTCGAAGGCACAGGACAGATACCTGAACTGCCATAACTCATGACATGTTATGATCAAGCTACCACTCACCACAAGTGTATGTATGAATGTGAGTTAGGGACCTGGATTGGAAGCTCCTTGAGGGCAAGGACTGATGTGAATGTATAATATATATGTAAAGCACTTCATAAATTGTTGGTGTTTATATACAGATTTTACCTGAAATAAATAAAAAAATACATTTATTAACAGATCTAGAACACAGGAAATGTGTATATATACTATACATAGGTAACATAGAAATACCTTTAACTTCCCTTAACATCTCTGTGTAATTTTCCCTGGGCTTTACAAGTGTGTATGTTTTTTTTTATAGGTTTGTGGTCATAGATGGAAAAATGTCTTTTACGAAAAACTCCACAAGCTGCCACATGGGATATGCTACAAAATACCTGCAAATTTGCGCACAGACTTACAGAGCAAAATATGTCCATGTTATAAAGGTATGTAAAGACCAATAGACTGCTGAATGATAATTGACAGCATGCCTATAAATGAATGAAAAGCCTCACCTCCAAAACTTTAGCTGGTTAAACTGCAGCTTGCCAAAACCTGAGCTGGTCCACCCAAAGGCAGACATTTAGAAGCCTTGGAAGTAAAAAAAAAAAAGAGAGGGAAAGAAAAGCAAGACAAAAGACTTAAAAGCTTGAATTAACAATTACATGAGGTGAAAGTGTTTTATTGTATTCAATGGTAATGCATTGAACATTTAAACTTACACATTTTAAGTGTTTGTTTTTAGACATTTATGTTAACAAACATAGTGCCATTTAGGCCCTATTCACACATAGCATGGTGACCTGCATTTTACCCCACTAGATGAACGCAGGTCACTGCTGGGACACACAGAGAACAATTGTTTTCTATGTGTCTGATTCAATGAAGCCGATTTACTAAAACTGGAGAGTGCAAAATCAGGTGCAGTTCTGTGTAGAAACCAATCAGCTTCCAGTTTTTTTTTTTGTCAGAGCTTAAATAAACAAGCTGAAGCTTAAGCTGATTGGTTTCTATGCAGAGCTGCACCAGATTTTGCACTCCCCAGTTTTAATAAATCAACCCCATTGACTTTATGACATTACTCTTACAAAGCATGATGGGATTTTCAAAAAGAGAGAGTAGCAGAAGCTGTTCCCTTATGAAGCTGTCTCTCTCTGATTGAAACTCTGGGAAGCTGTACAGAGCCTGTGATGACAGGGAGAAGTACCTTTAACCACTTGCCGTCCGCCTGCTGTTTATAAACGGCAGGGCGGTGGCAGTCCAGGGGCGGGTTGCCGTTCATAAACGGCACCCGCCTTTTCTAGCTGTGCACGCTCCCTGGGAGCACAGTGAAACACCGATTGTTGGACGGGACCTCTGTACGAGGTCTCAATCATGTGATCACTGATTGGCCAATCAGTGATCACATGCAAAGTAGTAAGCAAGATGTCACTTGTGACATCATTGCTTACTACGTGTGAAATCTGTGAATGATCACAGAGGTCACATGGTACAAGGCTATTCACAACAGCCTTGTACCATGTGACAAGATTTGACCAATCACAGCTCACTCAGTATTTCTCAATGGCTGCAAGAATGCAGACAGAGAGAAAGAGAAATGATTGCTTTTACATCCTATATGGGTGTAAAAGCAATCACTGTAAAAAAAAAAATCTTCATCACCCCCCACAAGTAGTACAGTGTCACCATGGTGACACTTTACTGCTAGGGTGACAGTATGTAAAAAAAAAAACAAATAATATAAAAAAAAAATAAAAATGTAAAAAAAATGTTTAAAAATTATAATTTTTTTGGTTATAAACTAATTTGGCTTATTTTTTTTTTTACTAAAAATATAACAAAATACATTTTGGCCAAGATTTATGATGAAAGATTATTTATTTGCAAAATTTTATAAGAAAAACACTTTTTTTCAAAATTTCTGGACTTTTTCATTTACATAGCAAAAAAAATAAAAATCCCAGTGGTGAATAAATACCACCAAAATAAAGCTTTCTCTGTCTCAAAAAAATGGTAAAAAAAATCATATTGGTACAGTATTGCATGACCGCGCAATTGTCATTCAAAGTGTGATAGCGCTGAAAGCTGAAAATTGCCCTGGTCAGGAAGGGGGTAAAAGTGCCCGGACAGGAAGTGGTTAAGATATGAAGATGCTGCCATTGTACAACATGGGTGGCCTTAGCTCTGTGGCTGGGATGGGACATACTTAAAACTAATTTAAACTCTTTTTTTTTTTTTTAAACAAGCCCCCAGGAGCTTTATGCAACAACATGCTAGCATGTACTGCATATTAGCACACTATGATAGTCTTACCTGTCAAATGATGCACTCAAGCCCTGAGCTGTCAGCGCTCCTGCTGGTCATGGGCACTTCCATCTTCTCCAGGTCCCCCTTCTGGGTTCAGTTACGCTGCTTGAATGGCTAGGCAACAATGACTTTGCATTGGGGTGACATGGTTGTAATTGGTTCACAGAAGCTTGCTGAGCCTGTGATTGATTTCCTGTACTGTTATGAGAGTGCCCAACCCCCACTTGAAACCCACCCTTCAATGTTGTTATTTGGTTGGCCTTTTTTATAATCTGGCCATATGGTTTTCATTCTCTGCAGCATTACAGGAAGAAGAGTGGTTGGATCTCTTTGTTGCTTATTTTCTATGGTCATGAACTGATTATAATAGCAATGCTTAGATCTGAGTTTGCAGAACAAATACTGTACATATTTTCCTCAGTGCTGAATTAAACATTTAAAGTAATTGCATGTATATTGGATAATTCATATGATATTTTTGTTTCTTTTTTGTTAGATTATGCTAATAAGTTTGGTGAATCTCATGGTTCATGTCAAGCTGGCATCTCCAGCTTCTACCTAGAGGTAAGACTTGTAGTTTTGTTTTTTTGTTCAGTACATTTTTATTGAAGCATTTATTGAGCATACAAACAAATAAGCAGAGATCAAAGCTCAACATCAAGCCAATAATAGGATGCAATATCATGACAGTAGAGACCAAGCATAATTTATTTATTTATTACAGATACTTATATAGCGCCGTCAATTTACGCAGCGCTTTTACATATATATTGTACATTCACATCAGTCCCTAACCCTCAAGGGGTGTACAATCTAAGGTCCCTAACTCACATTCATATACTAGGGACAATTTAGACAGGATCCAATTAACCTACCAGTATGTCTTTGGAGTGTGGGAGGAAACAGGAATACCTGGAGGAAACCCACACAGGCACAGGGAGAACATGCAAACTCCAGGCAGGAGGTGCCATGGCTGGGATTTGAACCAACGACCCTAGTATTGCCAGGCGGAAGTGCTAACCATTTAGCCACTGTGCTGCCCATGCATAATGATTTGTAATATTAGTTTCGTGAACTACAGATGACATTCTACTACCAGGTTTAAACCAGTATCTAATATATGCCACAAAATAATGAGAACATAGATTTTGTGGTAAAAAGATGAAGAGAAGCAATAGAAGGGAAAAGGTATTAAGAGAGAAAAAAGAAGAAGGTAGGAAGGATGGACGGACAATATATTGCTACTGTGTCATCTATAACCTGAAATATTAACAAAAGACAAATGATTACCATGTTGACCAAGACTGGTCGATAGAGAAATATACTCCAAATACAATGAGGCATTTTAAAATCAAAGCAAAAGGCCCATATTTTAGAGTGTTTAGTAGTGGATCCCTTGACCAAATAATACTTGTATAGTTTTAATTTACTTGCTACTATTCCAATTCCAAGTAGCTTAGATTGTCAAGAATGTATGTTTAAGATTCCAATGAGAATTGTACATCTTTTGTTTTATGATTTATATACTTTTAGGCATGCCTAAGTATATTAGAGGAATCAGGAATCCTCTATTGGATTAAAATGTAATTAGCTGAACTAGAAATTGTCCGTGGGTCATACATTGGTGAACCAGGTAGTGCATGGTTAAGCCATGACTACTTTTCACAGCACATGGAATGCTCATTAGATATGAAGGTCCTGGAGCAAGAAAACTGGCACAAGATATAGGTGCTGTCCATACCAACTGACGAGGTTTCATATTTCAAAAAAAAAAATATTCTGGGCAATAGTGTAATTTTTGTAAAATAATTCCTAAATGTCCTTCAGGGGAGATAATATTTTGTAGTTAACTTATGACTTGTTTTCCAACTAAAGTAAAAGTGTGTGGTCTCCATTTGAGCACAAAGACAAAGTTATAAAACAGTGAATGGGAAATTTCCCCTAATTTACACATGGGCTAACCCTCTGAGCTAAGGGATGTCCTCTTATAAAATGGCCGTAAAACTATCACTTACAGTTATAAAATTGCCAGAAATACAGTGTCCTTATCTATTCCTGTGAGCTGACCTGGAAGCATAAAACAGTGTTAGCTTTCTTCTGTAAACTAATTATCTCCAGATCCATCATGTATTGGAGATGAACAAAGGCAGACATGTTTGAAGTCCAGCTTTGGTGGCAACCATGGCTCTTTCCATAGATACAGTGGAAAAGTTAGCATAGCCATTGAGGGACAGGAAGTATGCTGCGTAAATTGACAGCGTTATATAAGTACCTATAATAAATAAATAAATCTAATTCATGAGATTACCAGGTGGCAATAAATAAAAACCATGAAAAACTCATCTAAGTACTGATAAGCTGCAATATATTATATTTTGTTTTGGGTTTAAATATGATTTAATGCCCTAAAATGTCTATTTTACATTTGTGGATGTTTCATCATACCATGCAGTGCAAAAGAAATGTCTTTTTTTTCCAGGATTTAGTCATTATGGGGGCACCTGGATCATTCTACTGGATGGGCTCTATCTTCGTGTACAATACTACAGAGAACAAGATTTACACCTTTGACAATAAAAATAACACTGTAAAATATGGCAGCTATTTAGGTAATTCAGCTCTTATTGATATATTGTTACATAATGGACCGCTAAAAGAAAAATTCCCCAGTGGGGACACAGACATACCTAATGCAGCGCTAAACAGTTCAGGTTGTAGGACAGTCCAGTATTTGAGGGACAATTGATTATGCATAGGGACAGGACGTCAGGTTTCGCACAGCCATGACATGGTAGTTTCCATGTTTAAGAAAGAGTTTAATGATATGGAAGATGGTGCTTAAATATAACGGGAGGTGAGGATTGATTCATATTGAAGTTGGGGCTTGATACTGATTGTCTAAAACATCTCTAAAGCTAAAAGACATTTGTGCCCACAATGCTTTCTTTATACTCCTATCCAATGTATCATTTGCTACAGAGCAAAAGAGCACCTTAAAAATAACCTGTCGAGAGGAATATGGAGACTACCATTTTTTACCTCTTCCTTTGAAAATGCCAGTTACCTATCTAACTCTCTTTTTTTCTATCATTTCTGAATTTTTGGCTCACAACAAATATGCAGATAAGGACTTTCCTGAAACTCCTGATTTGCATACCTGCAGTGACTTAGAAAGTATCAAACTCAGTAGTTGTGCATAACAACCAGAAAACTAGTATTTTCAGACAATATTTTTCCCATGACAGATTTACTTTAGACTACCATAAGGCTGAGAAAAAAGGATTGTCTTTAAATTTAATTTAAAAAAACAGAACAAAAATATAGAATATTTTGTCATTTATTTTGCAGATCACTTCCTAAGACATTGGCTTATCTAAAGTCTAATGTGTTAATAAACTTTGCCAGGTCAGGAACGTTACATATTAAATATAAAGTTCAGGGATTTTGTTGCACACAGCGTTGTGTTGCATAAAACAAACTTTGCTTTAGCTCCTGTTCACAGTATTTGGAGAGGCATAAATCCAATAGATAAGCTCCTCTTCTATGTTTTAAACCAAGAACATTCTGTTAACAGCAGCCTCTTTTTTGTTAGACCCGTTTGTTGACTTAAATATGCAAAAAGTAAATTATGTGACTGCAACTCAATAGTTAAATAAGCTAGGGATCTGGTCAAGATGTTCTGTAGTTGAATTAGAATGAAGAAGATGCATGATCTACATGACTTTGCTCACGGTGTAATTGATAGTGGCTGGGACTGTGGCTACAGAGTCTCAGAAGCCAGTGAACTTCTACAACCTTGCATTCTCCAGAATGGCATGAAATATACTTCCATTGATGGGCAATTTAGTGATGAAAGACCTTTTTCATTATAGCAGTAAGAGAGTATGGCCAGACTTGTTCAAGCTGACAGGAAGTCCTCCTCTTCTTAAATTAAATATTTTGAACATTGAGGATGAAAGGCTGCAACAAAATGGACAATGTTGCCTAATCTACTGGAATATTGATTTCGGCTGTAAGGTCAACATTCAGCATGAATGCATAGGTTTATCTTATTTCACAGGGGTTCTGGTGTTGATGATTTAATGGGGTGGGAAAGGTTTTCATGACATACAGGTGAAACTCGAAAAATTATAATATTGTGCAAAAGTTCATTTATTTCAGTAATGCAACTTAAAAGGTGAAACTAATCTATGAGACT